AAAATTTAAATTAATAATGAAATGGACCATATATACACATCTATTCATTAAATATATTCCCGAAAATATTGTGTAAAATTAATTAAATAGCATTATACTCTTCCCTCCAAAAAGCTGTAGCCCAAAACATAACAAAAAATTTATTTTACTAATTTTTACCAACTATATTACTTCATGTTTTTACCAACTATATTACTTCATATTTCCCTGTTAACTTATTTTAATCTGCACCAGAAATAGCTATAGTCAATGGCATAATAAAATTGTAGCCCAACTGTAATCCTTATATTATAAACTTGCATTCCATTCAAATGAAACAATAACTCTATAAATATTTGCAAAATAACCAAAAAATATATATAGATTTTGAAAACCAATCATATGTCTAATTCCCTGTGTTTTAAATAAAAATAACTTAAGAGTACATAGAGGGCTGTTTTTTTTTTTTCTCTTTTGGATAAAATCATCTATACCAAGAGTCAGCACATTTTTTTTCAATAAAGTATAAAATAATAAATATTTCAAATTTTGAGGGCTTTATGATCTCTAGTCACAACTATTCATCTCTGTCCTTACACTGTGAAAGCAGCCATCGAAAGTATATGTAAATTCGCCGGGACCGGTTTGGCTCAGTGGATAGAGAGTCGGCCTGCGGTTCGATTCCAGTCAAGGCCATGTACCTTGGTTGCGGGCACATCCCCAGTGGGGGGGGGTGCAAGAGGCAGCTGGTCGATGTTTCTCTCTCATCGACGTTTCTAACTCTCTGTCCCTCTTAATTCCTCTCTGTGTAAAATCAATAAAATATATTTAAAAAAAAAAAAGAAAGTATATGTAAATTAATGGATACAGCAATGTTCCAATAAAACTTCATTTACAAAAACAAGCAGGATGCTAGCTTTGCCCTGCAGGCCATAGTTTGCAAACACCTGAACTACTCCACTCCTGTTCTAGTGACTTTATTAAAGCTCAAAACCACCCAACTTATGAGTTAGCTATGTGCCCAAAGTCAAATTACAATGGAGGTGGGTGTTTTTTTTATTAATTTTTCCTATATTTACTAGTGAGATTCTTAAACAAATTCAATTCAACTCTTCTCCAGTTCTTCTCTCTCCTCCTATCTAGAAACAAAGAAGGAGCATATTTATTCCATAGATTCTGGGTCATAAGAGTTGAGACACCAGAGTACAGAGGTGTGTGAGAGAAGGAGGAAGAAGAGAACCATTTATTTTGTCCTATCTAGAAACATTTTAATTTCTGGAATTCTCCTACTTCCTTTGTCCATTTTGTCAAGGGTCTCATTGCCATCAGTCCCTCTTAAGTCACCTACTATGGCACTATATCATGAGATGCCCTCTTTTTTCTTTTTTCTCCTTGTCGAGAAATCAAGCCTTAAATATTTAAAGCCCACAGTAAGTCCTGGAGCTCTTTTTCTTCATATGCCCAGAGCTTTAAAAATGTCTATATTCCTTTTGTTTGTTTGTTTGTTTGTTTGTTTGTTTGATTAATCCTTACTCGATACTTTTCCATTGATTTTTAGAAAGAGTGGAAGGGAGGGGGAGAGATAGAAACATTGATTGGTTTCCTCCCACATGTGCAGGGCCAAACCTGCAACCAGGAATGTGCCACTGACCAGAATCCCCATGCCCTTGACCAGAATCCCCGGACCCTTCTGTCCGCAGGCGGATACTCTATCCACTGAGCCAAATGGGCTTGGGCTCCATATTCCTTTTTTAATCAAACTCTCTTCCTTCAATAGAGCTGATTTCTACAAAAAATGATGAGAAAAACTGATTAAACTAAAGCATATTAATATGTAACTTAAGGACTAGAAATCATTCAGAAAATTCCAAACCTATCCCAGGTCCTGGGATATTTACTTTACTAAGGGTGGTTGGGGGACCATAACTCTAAGTTCTAGTGGGTGTAGTTCTCATAGTAGTGAAGAGGAAACACAGGCACTAGATGAAATAAGAGGTAGACAGCATGGAGGGAACATAGCACAAGGCAAATCAATAGTAACCGGATCAAGGCTCCACAAATTTTCCCTAAAAACTGTCCTTTTCTCCAGTCCACTTTTGCACCCACACATCTTCTAGTCCAAGGGTCATTAACTCAAATGTCTATAGGTAAGTAAGGGAAGTGAATAGACAATAGAGAATAATAAGGCCTGGAGAAAGCTGAGTGGAAAGGGGGCAGCTGCTACTCAGTTCCAGCCAATTGCAGAAATGCACGCCCAGGGTTGCCATATCATCAGATTTTCAAAAAAAGTCAGAAATACATTTTTAAATTTAAAATTGTCAAAATTTTAAAATATTGTGCAAGGCAAAGAAACCCCATCTATAGGTTAGATTGGGCCCACAATTCATCAGCCTTTTAATTCTGCCCCAGCAGAACCCTGTCCTTTGTAAACTTTCCAGGGTAGCAATATGGTATGTAGAGGGGATATGGCAGCAGGCAGCCTTCTTTAGAGAGCAGCAACGAATCAGGTTATTTTGAGTTAGGGAACTGCCTAATGGAATCGGAAGGTGATAAAATGTCATTAAAAATTGCATTACTCTCCATAAAGACTTAGAAAAGTACAATTCAGGTATTCCCAAGATATAAATAATTAAACTGCTTTCCTCTTCACAAAATTCAGATATGTTCATAAGATTAAAAATTAAAATGTTTTAGAAGTAACAAAACAAAACAAAACAGACCACCCTCCTTAGGTATTATTGCTGTATACCATTTGGTGTTGAGTGATCTATTTCAGACAACATGTGAGTCCATTTTAAAACTCATCAACACAAGTTCCATCTGGCCCTGAAACTGTATAAAAGGTGACTCAATGGTCAGTTTTCTTTCTCAATATTCTATATATGTTTCTCCCTTTGCAACTGATATCTAGTCTCAATCAGTAGAATCTTTCTATAATAGAGGTGAATTTCATACCATAAAACAAATCTGAGCTTGCCAGAAAATTAAGGCTACTTAACTCAGGTCAGACCTGCCACAGGTCAGGCCTGCCAGCTGCTGTGCAACTTCTGTTCTAGTTTCTGCCCAGGCCTGTAATTATTTACAGTTTTGCACCTGTCAAAATCTTGAAACAATGGCTTTCCTTGTTTCTCAGGGTTTATAGACGGTTAAATGTACTCAGCTTAAAAACTGAACACATAAAGCACACATGTTAAAGAGGTCATTATCTCTGAGTTTTTACAATTTTTTAACGTAAGTAAAATAAAAAAAATGAAGGGGGAAAGATAAATTAGGTTTTGATGGTTAATAAATAAAACATTAAAGTAGCTATTCTCAATCTTCATGAATATAGGAATTATCTATATGTTGTTTTAAAAATGCTTAATACAAAAGCCAGGCCTCCAATATCAGAACTTAGAAATTGGGAGTGATTACTACATTTTTAACATTTGGTTTGGAAAACATGTTTTTAAAAATATCAAGTAAAAATAAGATAACAATATAATAAACCATAACCATCATATTAAAAAACTGATCAGTATTACTATTATACAATTTGATCTATATTTGGTGAGGGGGAGTATTAAATAATTTAGTACACAAGTTAGATTAAACTACTAAGTAAGTCAAAAGAAGAAAAGATAAATGGTGCTGAAAGTAGTTCTCTGGGCTACCACACCACTCACTAAGCAACAAGAGTCTTCTCACTATAGCTGATTCTGCAACTGAGAGAGACTGAGAGCTCTGGCTGGCTGAGGTTTTATTCTTTCTCCTAAGTTATGCATCTCAATCCAGAAGGTGTATATTTCTTTAAGAAATCAGCAGCTCTGGGTAAACAGGGTGCATCTGGTGAACACATGTCCAAGTACAGGTAAACACATGATTTCAGTAATTACTTCCAACACCATCTGTCAAGCAGGTAGTTCAAAACCTACTCTACAGGAAAGGCAGTTTAAAGTAATTTTTAAGCAAGTACACTTCTCATCTGCTTAATAAAAGTAAAGATCAAAATATAACCTAGAAACCTGTCTGCTCTATCCTGAATTTACCCAGGGCAGAGGCAGGCAGGTTCATTCTTGTAACTAAAAAAGATGATAATCCTACACTGGCTAAGAAATACATGCATCTGATTAATTATCCTCCAAAGAAAGTTTCCTATGATTAAAAATGGCAGTAATTTATTCATTACTAATCAATAACTAACAAGACTAGTCTCTGTAACACATTAAAGTGTGCCACCTGTCTGCAAACCACATCACCATTAATTAAGGAATAAACTACTCTGGTGACAAATGCTTTGAAGTGTTTCTCAGTATCATTAACTCAGCTTGAAAAACATAAACCTTAATGCAAAAGATCGCAGAGAAAGAAAAAATATAGCAGCAGAGGAAAAAAAAATCTAATTAAAAAATTTTATGACTTCAAAAGATTGGTTGAGAGACATTGAAAAGATTATTGCAATTTGACCTTGACAAATATCTATATATCATTGGCCTGTTCATTTCTCTGATTTATATCAATCAAGTGTTTAAATAAAGTAAACATAAACAACTTTCAAACATCCAAAGTGATGCAGGACAGGAAAAACAAAGTTTGAATTCCCCAAGTAAAATTTAAATTTTTCTTTTAGATTCAGTTCCCTTGCCTTATCTTTACCACAATTTTTACCATGGCAGAAGTGATTAACTTAAATTCCAGCTTCTTGTTCTCCACATTTCTCCCTTCTAAGATCAAATATTAAAAGCAAAATTATTTGTATCTACTCCTGACATGATATAATAATAATGGTACTTTACCTCTGAAATCTTCCTTCAAAAAACCCATAACCCTAGACTAAATATGAGAAAAACATCAGACAAATTCAAACCAAAGGACATTCTACAAAACAGCTGATGTTCTACAAAACAATATTCCTTAAAAGTGTCAAAAACAAGGATCATCTGAGAAACTGTCACAGACTAAATGGGACAAAAAAGGTAGGACAATTAAATTTACTGTGGTACTCTGGATGAGATTTTGGAATAGAAAAACACATTAGGGATATGCTCGCTTCGGCAGTACATATACTAAAATTGGAATGATACAGAGATTAGGTTGGCCATGTGCAAGGATGACATGCAAATTAGTGAAGCATTTCATATTTTTAAAAAAGAAAAAGGACATTAGAGGAAAACTAGTGAAATTTGAATAAAATGTAGTGTTTAGTTAACAGTAATGTACCAGTGTTAATTTCTTAGTTGGTACAAATGTAACATCCTATATAATAAAAGTCTAATATGCTAAGTATCTAGTTGAATGGTCAGCCGTTCAACCAATCAAAGCATAATCTACACTAATAAAAGAGAAAGATGCAAATTGACCATACCTTCATGTGAGTATGCAAATTAACCCAACAAAGATGGTGGGTTTATTTGTATACATAGGTGCTGAGAGGGGGGTGGGGGGAGCAGGGCGGGATGCTTGTGTCATCGCCATGGTGACAACGGAGGCGTTCCACACTGCCCCAGCCACTCAGGGCCTCTAGGCAGCATGGGAAGGCAGGGCTGGAATGGAAAGAGGCAGTTCTGGGGTCCTAGCAGAAAGAGGCAGCTCCAGGGCCAGAGCAGAAAGGCAGTGCCAGCAGCCAGGGAAAAGGAAGGCCCATTCTTGCACAAATCTTCGTGCATTAGGCCTCTAGTATGCTAATATTATGCTAAGGTCACTCAACCTCTTGCTATGACATGCACTGATCACCAGGGGGCAGACACTCCAACCAGTAGGTTAGCTTGCTGCTGGAATCTGGCCAATCAGGACTGAGCGAGATGAACTGGACACACCCTAGAGCTCTCCTGCAGTCCCTCCTGGCTGGCCAACATTCCATGTCCCTCCTTGGCCCCAATGGTACACTGGTGGGGTCCCTCAGCCTGGTCTGCACTCTCTCGCAATCCAGGACCCCTCAGGGGATATCAGAGAGCCAGTTTCAACCTGATCCTGCAGGCCAGGCTGAGGGACCCCAATGGTGCACCAATTTGTGCACGGGACCACTAGCCTATATAATAAAGGTCTAAGCAACCATTATGGCAGAACGACTGGAACAACAGGTTGCTATGATGCACACTGACCATGAAAAGGCAGACACTCAATGCAGGAGCTGCACCCTGACGGTTAGTGAACTCCCACAGGGGGAGTGCCACTCAGCCAGAAGCCAGGCTCACAGCTGATGAGCGTAGCTGCCATCGCAGAAGCCTCTCCTGACTCTGCAGTAGCAGGCACAGCAGGCCAGTATGAGCGCCTAGCCCCAATTCAGGCTCCTCCCTGGCTACCAGCTGCTTGGCACACTGTTATATCCCCCAAAGGAACTCAGACTCTGAGAGGGCACAGGCCAGGCTGAGTGACACCCCCTCCCCCCAGTGCACGAATTTCATGCACCAGGCCTCTAGTAATAATAAAAGATATTAATAGTAGAGGAAAGTGGGTAAAGGGTATAAAGGAACTCTCATATTATCTTTACGACTTTTCCATAAATCTAAAATTAGCCTATATAATAAAGATGTAATATGCAGATTGACTGTCACTCCAACACACAAGATGGCCACCCCCATGTGGACACAAGATGGCCAGCAAGAGGCAGGGTACAGTTGAGGGTGACCAGGCTGGCAGAGGAGGGCAGTTGGGGGCAACCAGGCCTTCAGGGGAGGACAATTAGGGGCAACCAGGCTGGCAGGGGAGGGCAGTTAAGGGCTCTTGGGCCAGCAGGGGAGCAGTTAGGCATCGATCAGGCTGGCAGGGAAGTGGTTAAGGGGTTATCAGGCTGGCAGGCAGAAGCTATTAGGGACAATCAGGCAGGCAGGCAGGCAGGCAGACGAGTGGTTGGGAGCCAGCAGTCCTGGATTGTGAGAGGGATTCTGACTGCCTGTTTAGGCCCGATCCCACCGGGCCTAAATGGGAAGTCGGACATCCCTCGAGGGGTCCCAGATTGGAGAGGATTCAGGCTGGACACACACTTCCGTGCATGAATTTTGTGTACTGGGCCTCTAGTTCTAAAATAAAATCTTTGTTCAATAGAGATTCTGAATGTGCATTTATTCAACCGAAATTTGTTTATCAGACACTATATTATAGCCATGCACAATGTAATACACTAGGGACCCCATCATGAGACAGAGTCAATGTGAATACACTCTAGGATATCACAAAATTGGGAGTAAAATCCACCACTGATAGGGACATGAATGAAAAGCAGGTGAGTATGAAACAAGGTAACTCACTGACATAAATCATACAAATTATTACTTGAAGAGTCGCAAGTTTGATTCCTGGCCCTATCCAAGGCAGCCAGTTGATATCTCTCTCTCTCTCCCATTCTCTCTCTCTCTCCCATCCTCTCTCTCTCTTCCCCCTTTCTTTCTATATCTCCCTCCCTCCCTCCTTCCCTTCTTCCTTCCATTCCATCCTCCCACTCTCTCTAAAAAGCAATGGAAAAAATATCCCTCAGTGAAGATTAACAAAAAATAATAAATAAATGCTTGACCATAAAGAATGAGATATGTTTACATAATTCAAGTTTCAAGACTAAACGTATCCAGCAGCCCTACTCAAGAATGCAAAGACCAGGGCACTCTAATAAGAATCCCAATTCCATTGACTGCTGCTATAAATTCCTCTATTATAAACATCTCTAGAAACAATTTAAGGTTTGCTAATTAGCATATTAAATTTCAGAAATTAGTTTTTATTGGTAAAAACCATGGCTTGTTTATTGGTAAAAACCACTAGCAGGATTCTTGCTAGAAACAGTTTTTCACCTATTGAAAGAACAGTATTGAAGACATGTAGACTGACTACAAAATTTAAAGATGCTAGACATTTGTAAATGAACAGAATCAGTGAGGCCTGAAGCCTTTACCCTCAGAGACAGCTCTCAAAACTTACTCTCTACAAGGTCCCCGGTCCAGTCATGGGTTTAGGATTCTTTGCTGCCTGATCCTGAATATAAAGGTAACTGAATCCTACTTCTAAAATGTCACTGTGTCTGCCTGGATGAAACTTTCATACAAAGTGGCGGTCAAGGCTGAAAGGACAGAGAGCTGAACCTTCATTGAGCTTATGTAACACACTGTAGTAACTATTTTGAGCCTGCTTCACTAATGAGTGATTAATCTATATCTTTGTGTGGCAGGATGTGGTTTGAGTCTTGTAGAGAAGTAGCTCCCCTACCTTAAACCTGTTTGGCAAAAGGTGTCTTATGAATGACAAGTATGACATGTCAAATGTGAATGTCAATGACAAATGGTTATCATGTCAATTCATGGTAACCCTTGGAAGAAAAGTTAGAAAACAACTTCTAACTTGATATCTATGTACAGCCTTATAGAAATCCAACTTATAGAAATTTCAGAAAAATATTTCTCATGTTTGTGAATGTGCTTCTCTTTGGTAGGGGAGAATGTCTTTAGGTTTTATTAAAGTATTAAAATGGCTTCTGTGACTCAAAAATCATTAAGAACCTAAGCCCTGAGTAACCAATAGTCAAGCAACAATTACTGCTTTTTTTCCATTAAAATCAGTTTTTCCTAATTTGCACAATTTATATTTTCCTCCAAAAAAAAGTAGTCTTCTTGTTTGATCTATCATATACCTTCAGAAACAGATAAAATTTTAACAATCAGGGAGTACAATTAAATTAATTCACTTGAAATTACCGAAAACAGAAACCAAAATTTAAAGTAGCCATTATTTTCACACAATGAAGCACAATGCCCACTTTTGGATTTCAAACAATTTTACTTAAAGATGTAAAAGATCTGCACATGCCAGTGGAGTTTGGTTTTGTTTTTAAAATGAAATCCATTTATTTCAGCCATGTTTTACAGGATCTTCCCACTAGTTTTTGTACTATGTCTTGTAGCTCCCAAATCATCAAACCCTGGAGCACAGTGGCCAATTTTCTTCCCTTTGCACCTCCAAACCATTTTTTTTTTTACCTTGAATGAAATGGTACAAGGAAATAACATTCGATATAGTCATGAGAAATGCTGCTATCGGTCAGATTATCATCTCAGTAGTCAAGTTTCTGGTAAAGCAATATACAGAAATATTTTTTAATCTTCACGAGGAAACATGGAAAATGCTGAATTTATTACAAATGAACATTATGAAAAGTAACTGCTGAGTACCCACATCATACAAAATATTCAACACATACTGCTTGAATCACGTCCTACATGGGGAAAAATGGAAAGAAAGTGAGCAGCAGCAGGGTAGGGTCATGGACTACTTATTTAAAAACTAGGGGCCTGGTGCACAAAATTCATGCACTCAGGAGAGGGAGGTTCCCAAGCCTGGCCTGAGCCCTCTCATAATGCGGGAGCCCATGATCAATTGCCCCAAAGAGGTAGGCCCCACACATCCATCCAGGGCTCCTCAATGGATTACCCCAAAGAGGTAGGCAGAGGCCTGGGAACCGCACCTTCTTCTTGTCATGTGGAGAACTGGCTGGGCCCCGTCTACTCTGAACCATGCAGGCGTGACAGCAACACAGTGTCTTAACCGCTGAGGCTTTTATTAGTAAGGATTAATGAGTCCTGGGGAGAGTGGCTTGGTGGTCAGAGTGCAGGCCTGCACACTAGAGGGTTTTAGGTTCGATTCCTGGCCATAGTCAGGGCGGCAAGGAGAAAGCAACTAATAGATGTGTCTCTCTTACATTGATGTTTCTCTCCTCTCTTCTTTCTTTCCTCTTCACTCACTCTCTCCTCTCTTTCTCTCTCACTCTCTCCTTCCCTTTCACTCTCTGAAAATCAAGATAAAATATATAAGGATTAACAAAAAAAAGAAAGTCAATGAAAGGGTTTCCTCCCATTGACACAAATGCTATTATCTTTTAGTTTAACATCCATTACATTTTTTAAAAATTAAGAGATGTTTTGTCATTAATTTTTCTAAAATATGTATTTTTAAACTATTAAATATAAAAACTTTAATATTGTTCTCTAATCCAAGCATGAAATAATGAATAGAGAAAAAAAGTTCAAAGTAAAAATGTCTGTATACAGACTTGAGAGACAACCAAAGCAAAGTGTCTTTGCTAATTGTTAGGCTACCTCGTAATTTTTGTTTTCTAAAGAACTGATCTTATTTCCTATACTAATTTCACATACCTTCAGCTA